GCGCTCACTAGACACCAAGGTGAAGATGCTTCTTCTAATCTCACTTCTCTTGCGAGCGTTTCCTCGTTCAAAATCACTTATTCTCTCCTGATAAAAACATAGCTGTAAATCCTGGTTTAAGGAAGCAACACGTTTGCCAAATTAAAATAGCACTTCCTTAAAAACTGGCACTTAAGAAGCTGCATTTGCTTTACTCTATCTGACACATTGGTGTGAGGAGCTGGCAAATACGTGTTGGCTCTAACAGCCGCTCACCAAGTTGTTTGCTGACAGCAAAATGAGTGGGCAAAAAAGTCATATTTGCAGTTCCCTAAACAGCTAGCTGATACTCATGGGTGCTTTTGTTGAAGTATGGTACGCAAATGTGCCCTGGCAAACACAAAAGAGGATGAGCTGGACCAAAAGATACTGTCACGCTCACTTCCCCTTGCTCCAGCTTATTTCAGGCTTAGATACAGTGCACATAAAGAGAAAACACAAACAGAAACTCACCAACTTTCAGTCCTGCTTGCTGTGCTGGGCTGTCATCGTGCACCTTACACACAAACGTACACATCTCCACTGAGTTCTGGTCCTGATGGTGGAGGCCATAAGTCTGAAAGAGACACAACAGACAGTGGAAAAACCTTATGAATACTTTTTTCCTTCCTTATTCTTGATAAATAGCCACCATCTTACACAATGTGACCGATGTCAGCGGTTTTGAAATACTGAGGCCACACAATGCAACACTGATAAACCACCGGACGACGCGCTGAGGAAGCCAGTGACAGACAACGCAGGAAACCATGGTCATATCACAGAACACCCAGAGACATGGTGCTGGCACGCAAACTTGGAGAACTGTAGGTCTGGTCGAATTAAACAGAAACCGCCGACTTGATAATCCCGCACAGACGTCTCTCGGACACAGCAGCAGAACTAAATCCTGAAAACGGCCGCATCTGTACCTCTGCCAACACTCCAGCGGTGGAAAGTAACTAAGAACAACAACACTAGTTACTGGACCTCCAGTACAATTTAAAAGTATTTGTACTTCTGTATTTTATGTTACTTCATACTTGTATTCCACTACAGCTGTGGTTACTACTAAGTTTGAGTTTCATAAATACGGCCGCATCTGATGACCACGTGGCCTGTTAAACCAAATACTGGTCCAAGGACGTGTGACCACCCGAAACCCAAAGATATTCTGTTCAAAATGAAATAAAGCAGAGAAAAAACCCCACAGAATCACTGACATTTCTTAGAAAAAGAGCAGCAATGACTGAAAGTTAATCACACACTGTTTTGATAATTGTAAAAAGCAGCACCAATTCATTCTGTTAATCAACCAACATTTAGGACATCGAACACATTTAGATAGTAACACTTGGGCACTTCAACACTGCAGGACTATGGTACAACTTGGAATATTAAACTGAATGATTTGAATACTTCCCCCACCACCCAGGGCTGTAATATTTTGTTGTCTTGGAAACAGTATTTGTCCCTTCTACTTGTATATGAACGCTCTTCACCACAGCCTGACAGACTTCCTCTCATCACATGACTACCAGTCAGTGTGCTGCTGTTGAAGGAGTCTCAGGGCTTTTCCCTCAACAACACAGTTAAGAGACGATGAGAGCATCTTGTTGAATAACACACAAGCTACCACGTGTCTGTTACAGTCAGATGTTCCTATTAAACCACGACTGCAACTTGGATTCATTTGTCTTATGGAAAGCTGAAAACATTCCCATCTGCCCGTGGTCACTGCTGGTTCACCGAGAGCTCCCCTCTCAACAGACTGAAAGAGAAACACAGAACGGTACCGTCGAAATGTAAATATCACATTTACATGCTAGCTCCTCAGCTCAACATCAATATTAACACATCGGTAACGGAGGGAGAAAACCCCAGAAACACAAGGCTCCAAACACATCTCAGTCATTCCCTGCTGATCCGCCAGAGCCGCCTTCATCATCTCACTTCCTTCTGGCCACAGGCAGGAAGGGCGAGAGCCTCCAGTGGAGCCATAAATAGAACGTGTGCAGTATTTCACTTCCAGAGACTTTAACTGGCCACAAATCATCACAGTAAACAGATTCAAACAAGCCAAATTAGTATTTAATCTAAAACTACTCAAAGAACGAGGTCTGTACGACAGAGCTGACATCGTGAGGCAGCGCATCAAAGAGCAGGGGGAGAGAGGTCAGACAGACACCGAGGTCAAATAAGCAAAGCGTCTGCCTGGCAGCTGGGTGAGAGCAAAGCAGGTAATACATGGGAAACGTGAGTAAACTGAGACTTCAAATTCAGACGCTGGGAGGACAAATCTATCTTCTCAACTCATGAGACCGACATCAATGAGTTACTGTATCTGAACGACATGCGACCTTTCACCCCTGCTGCCCCGGGAAAACACTCGCATTAAGAGATTTACAGAAGTAGATGTATGTGCTTCAGTGGCTCAGGTTTCATCTGGTGGCTGATCAGGGGAAATCCTGGTAAATGGCACTTGAGAGCTTCAGAATTCCCCTGAACATCCTGCTGTGAATCCTCTTACCTGGATCTCAAAACCAAACGTCTCCTCTTCCTTTTTCTCCAGGACCACCACCTTCCTAGAAAAAGGGACAAAGATTTATTAACAGATGAAAACTCTTTTCTGACCACAGGCATCCAAAGTTGTTTTATAGCTTCAAACGTCCTGCTGATGGTAGTGAGGACGTTTCATTTGTAAGGCAGCATAACTGTACGTAACATCTAAAAGACCAATATTAGAAGAAACAATCAAGATGTTTAAGTCTGACTCTGTGTTCCACAGAACTACTTGTGTGTCCGGGAGCATCTGGACGTCACAGACAACAGCACAGTACGAGGGTCTGTTACGCTCTGACGTCAGCAGGGGACCTCTCGTGTGGAGGCCATGAAAGTTAGTGACAGCATCAAAGATGGCTGTTTGAATGCGGGGTTTCCACTCGGAGGTGGCGCTGCCCACTTATAGGAGGAAGATGTTGCCATGAAGAGAGAGGAGGTGCTAAAGATCAGAGGAATGACATTGGCTGCTGGGGGGACTGTACCTCTGTGGCTCTTGTGACTGTGTTAGGGGTTTGCACTTCTGCTGCCCACCGCCCTGTAAGCAGAAAACGAAACAAGACATGGAGCGTGTCAGACTACCTGTTTGAGGTTAATGCACAATTACTCATGAGGGTTTCCCCTGCCAGCATTTCATGGACACACCTTCTGTAACCCAGCAGCGCATTGGCAGGTCCGTGAAGTGCTGATGCTGAACATGTGCACCTTGTTTTTGTATTTTTAACCCACTAAGTCATTATGCTGGTATGGAAACAATGGCACTGAAACCAGAAATGTGTGTCTGGCTGCTCTTTGTTTACTTCAAGCAGCAACAACATCAGAAGAAAACCTCAGTGCACCTAATTTTAGTTTTCATGTCACATCAGATCAGCTGCCTTCAGGCGCTCCAACTGACGTTTCAGATCATTTAGCATAGTGAACACCTGAGCCACAATAAGCTAATTGAGGCAAAGCCCAAGTCGACAGCAGGTCAGAACCCTGCCCTGCCCAACTGTGTAAACAAGGACGGTATCTGTCCCAAAGGCTTCATTAAACCATTTACAATCAATCTGCCCTTGTTCCAACTCAGTCATTTTCAAGTGCTGCTCCTGTGAAAGGCTGCTTTGTGCTGCTCTCTCTCTGGGCAGTAAAATGTTGCTTTCTTTCTGTCCCAACACTTACAGAATTGTCCCACACCCACCTCAATGAGTGCATTTATTCCCAAATACCCACAGACACCAACGGGGTGGTGCTGGAGTAGGCTCCCCATCCCTGTGCGTGCACAATGCAGTGCTGTAGCTGCCCACTCCAGCTACTGAACACTCGCTAGTATGATGGGCTGCGGACAACCACTGTGTTCAACTACTGTCCAGTTTGGTCAGTGTAATACAACAGGGGCCATCTGTCCCTGAACTGTCTAATCCTGGAGGAGCTGCCACTGGGTTAAAACAATCGGATTAGGGAACTTTTCTTCATTTATTTTGAAATAAAGACATTATGTAGAATCAAGACAGTGGTCATAAAGCACTTTAAACTGTTCTACAGTTTAAACAATTTTCAGTAATTTGATTTTAAGAATTTATTTGTAACTTATAAACAAACACCAATTAACAATTCATTTGTTGTTTTAATCCAAATCTGTACAATAAATAAACAGACACCACTTTATCATGAAAATGACACAGACATAATGGCAGACACCATCAACATTTCGATTTGGACTAACTCCCCATTTGAAGAACCAGATCTCTGGTTTACACACACACACAGCAGAAATCAGATTCGGTGCTTGGGTGGTCCACACGTGTCCCCACTGTGTGGACATGTCTCAAGAGTTCAATGAGATGCCCTTTGTAGATACAGCGGAGATTCACACATGTTTTCAGGTACATACACTGAAAACACCACATATTTAAGCAGACCATACACCTTAAGCTGATTTTTACAGCTCTCTGGTCATTCTTATAAAGTCCCTCAAGCTTCAAGGTAGTAAATAATTTTTAAAAAGTCATTTACAAGTGTTCACTTCGCTGAGCTGGTCCAACCTTGATGTAAATAAAGCCTTTAGTTAGACTAATGATGCTAATAAGGTAAATAAGTTGGAACTTAAAGTAAAATTCATACATAAACAATGTTGTTAGGCTCAAACAACCAAAGTGATGACACAAAGTGTTACAAACATTATTATTACCCACCTTTTTGTAGTTTCTGGGTAGCGTCCCACCAGAGTAAGCCAAAGTTTTGTAGTTGTAAACTTCCGAGGAGTTTCTCGGTAAGTCCACAGTCTTGCAGCTGTCCGACTTTGACGAAGGGAAATAAACGCCGTCCTGAGGCGCTGCTCCAACCTCCGGCCCGCTGGAGTTCACTTTCTTCAGCCTCCTGAACGTCATGTTGTGTTAATATGAGGAGCTGAAGAACCAGCTCAGAATAAAATGGAAGTAAAACGCCTTGTTTTCCTCTCGTAGAGAGCTCGACCAGCACAGACAGATGCTGACCGAGTATTGAGCTCCAGCTCGGAGCCTTAGGTGGTTTCGTGCATCAAGGAGGAGGGGACTGTTATGAGGGTACAATGAGTGGCGGCCATGTTGACGTCCGCATCCTTTGCCTTCAGGCGCACCTCGGACGTTTCACCTTCACGTTTCAGGAGCCGACCTTTTCTTTCAAATTTGGTAAATGCAACAAGAAACGAAAGGAGGTGAATTTAAAAAATACTATTATCTATTTAACAAATTAATGAGTAGAAATTATAAAGGCATTTTATTTAGCTGTTTCAGCAAACAAATTTATTTGTCAGAATAGATGGTTTTGGACTTGCACATAGAATGAGATATTTAAAAAGACTGCACCTTCATACACAAAAATATTAATCAAGTAATTGAAATTACTGGCAGATTAATAAATAATCAGAACAAGAAGTGAATGTGCATACATCTTAATGACTTTACTGGCGTGAAAGATTTTTGTGCAAGCTCTTACACACATACTGGACTTAAGTTTGTTTTGTTCTCATTAGTCACATTATACTGTAGTAATATAAGGGGTCAATAAACTTATTACATTAACTTATAGCTCTATAAATTCAGTGCGCCATTCATCCTCTAAAGAGCAGACCCTGATTTTAAATCCCAGTTCAAGTTTAAAGAGCTCTCCAGTCAAAAACGTGTTGTTACTTATTGCTAAGTCACTTGGATGCCTGAGCTTCACTTTGCAGAGTAATGGATGTGCAGAGTGTGACATTATTTTATGCAAGTGTGATGTAGAAATGTGAAACGTGCTGGACATATACACTGAGAATGGACCCTTCAGGGGAATTAGCAAAGGTAATTGAAGGTTTTTGTTGAAAAATTATACAAGACAAATTATTATAAGCGCTACTGAAAATTTGTTGCCCTCTTATTATGCAATTGTGTAGGTACAGTATCTCTGCCAGCAACTGCTGGCAAAGTTTCCAAACACATGTGACTGAGTCATTTATCTGGAATAGTCCAGCAGCATTTGAAGGCACCATTTGAGGCTGCAGACCAACCATTAACCTAAGTTTAAAGTTTTACTATTACTCATGAACACACTGCATTATAAACTCTAAGATGATAAACTAGACACAGATCTGGTCTTTGACAACAAACTGATTAAGCTGTAAAATGAGAGAGAGGCAGAAAAAGACAGTTTTCAGTCAGTGGAGCTGAACATGTTGCAACCATCTGTATCCAGAGACTAATAAGTTGATGACTCCCCCATGTGGTAGACAAATCTTCCACCACATCGTGAGTGAAGCATTAGATGTGTAAAAAACTGTATCAAGCACAGAAGTTCAGATGGTTTATTATAATATTTACACAGTGGGATATTTCAGGCCAGAATTAATTGTTAAGTTAGAGGTGAACATGCACATGCGTCCACACACACACACACAAATACACACACACTCACACAGAGGAACAGTAGACAGACTGCTGCAGCGGATGCAGCTCCTTTGGAAATGATTGTCCCGTTACTGTTCCCCAAACACTTTCAAGTAGCTTCTGAAATGTATGGAAAAAAAGTTAGATTTCTTATTACTTCTCATCTGTCCTTCACTCTTGGTTCCAAATTCACAAAAATATATATTTGGCTTTCACAGCATCTTAGCAGCCACAACTAAACAGCAATACTACAGTCTACGTCCAAAGTGCACGCCTACACAGCAGCGCTCTGTATGTCTTCTACCTAAGCCATGACCATAGAGAACAGGTTGTAAAGGCACGTGAAGCTGAATATTTTCCTTTGAGTTTGATATTTGCTGTACTTTAACCTTACTTTAAGTTCCTACAGAGCAGCACACCACTAGCTGTGAAGCACTGAGACACAGGCAGCCAGAGTCTTGAGTACTGATAAGACCACTGAGTAAGTTTGGTCAAATGTTGCCACAATGCAAACATATCCTATCATACAGTTTGTATTCATACAGTGACATGCTTTGATTATGTGTTACAGAGACACAGAACCTGTGAAGCAGCTATCCTTACTTTAGCCTGTTACGATGTGACCAGTCTACAAAATACACATTCACACTGGTTTTATATAAAAAGTGTCAGTCCTTTATATACAATGAACACATGCGTGTAGGCAGTCAGTTTTATTTGTAGTTGAAAAAACCAGTTGACTTGGCCTGAGGAGCCATCAGCATACAGGCTTGATTCTTGTGTGTGATGTGAATCTGAAAAGGAAATAGAAAATGCAAATGTGCAGTCAATTATTTCCACTAACTGTACTGTTAACAGGAAAACAACTTTTAATATTTAATCTCTGGTGCCGTGTTTGCTTCTGTGAACATGTGGTAGTTACCGTGCAGGGAGGCTGCATCCACGGCTCTCCATCTATCTGCATTGGTAATGCTTTTTTTGTCCTGAGGGTAAAGCAGAGAGGAGAGGAAGCAACAAAGAGCATCAGGCACCAGAATCACTGACTCTTGTGTGTAATTAAAATAAAGAAAGCTAACTCATCTTACATAATTACTGTTATGTAAATTTCCAGCTGAGGATCATCCTCAGCTGGTGATCAAAGTCAACAAAAGACTATTGTCAAGACTGAGCCCAAAGCCTGACAAGTCTGAACAAGCCTGTGTGGCTGCTTCTCAGGTGATATTCATAGACCTTCCCTTTGTCTGAAAAAAATGCCAAAGTGTGGTGACACAGACGGGGGGGCATCGACAAGGGGTGTCAGCCAGAACGGCACAGCGTTGTTCAGAAAACACCTGGCTCTGGTTCAACTTTGACTGCAATGCAACAGCACGTCATCCATCACGCACGTGTTCCTGATGGATGATTTTGTAATGTGCATGCTGTATTTGCGCTGTCGTCACAATGAAAGATAAAACAGTCAATAACTTTCTAGAGTTGTGAGTGTTACAAACCATGGTGCTGTGGTCTAATAAGCTCCAAACATAAATCCGTTCTTCCAACCAGATGTTCCAGGTCCTATGCAGCCCCTGCGCTGTCCTAATGCTGGACAAATCTCCATGTGGATGCAGTCCTACCTGATGGTGAGCTGCGATGTCTTGGCGAGCCTCACGGCGCTCTTGAGGCCTGTGTATATCTGTCCCATCTCCATGGCACCTTCAAGGCCGACCACCTCCAGTCGACAGTCGCTGAGATCTGACAAGAACACGTGGACATGTTGAACATCCAGTGCACAGAGGGGAACGTCATTCAGTCCGAGACAGATCGTCATCATACACAAACACATTACTGGACACATTTGTGTTTATACTAAACCACACGTTTAGGAAATCAAAGTGCTAATGTTTAAAAGAGGATATGATCAATATTTTATATTAAAAAGGGACCACATAATTATAGTGGACCACTTGGAAGTCACCTTTGTGTCCAGCAGCAGCAAACAGTTAATAATTTGACTGTATCTTCAGAGTGAATACTGGATGAGAACTGCTCAAGTGGACACAAAGACAAGTCCAGATGAAATTATCGTGTTTCTCTGTTGCTGGATGTGCAAATAGGCAACTGTTTGCTAATAGACTGACACGTCAACTAGAAGAATAAGGCTGGTGATTTACCATGTTTTGGTTATTTTCCACAAATATTGGCTTGTTTTCCAGAGACACAAACCAGCAATGAATTTCATGTACTCATTGTAATGACAGTGAATCCAGACCCTAGTTTAGCTGATTCCTTTGTGGTGTGAACCACATCACTGCACTTGGTGACTTGTAAACTAAGCTCATTGTTGGTTTTATGGGACTTGAAGATAATAACCCAGACACAGAAAGTCACAGGCCTTAACCTTGAAATGGCCAGTGTTCTGTTAACAGCTTGTTTCTGCTGCCCTCAAGTGACTGAAAAATCAATTACTACAAATTACCACTATAGACCAACTGTATCACCACATGGGAGCCAGTTTCATATGCGCAGATCACCTCTTTAAATCTGCATGAACTGATTTTTAAACACACGGTGGCAGCAGATTAAGCTCAGTACACAACATGTGACATCACCCTATAGAGGTGTTTCAGCAAACCGCTGCCAATGTAAACATCTAGCAGACACAAGCAACATTAAGATTGTTTTGGGATGGTGTTTCTGACCTTTAGATGAATCTAACTCTGCTTTTAGTTCTGATTTAAGGTGGCACTGACAGCTCAACAGGCTGCAGCTTAAGGAATCACATGCAAATAGACAAAACGCTTGCAAATTTAGAAAGAAAGAAATAAAGGATGGGCAAACAGAAAAACATTTATCAGCATGACAACACATATGTAGCATAAGAAAACACACTGTAACTATAAAAAACCACAACCAAATACAGAAGTACACTGACGGGCTGTCAACTTCAGTATGCGGCTGTATTTGGTGGCGTTAGGCTGCTTGCTGTCAGACCTGCTGCGTGTTGCATTTGCAGAGCCACCACACTGTTTAGGTCTCTACTGACTCTTGACAAAACTCTCTGTCACCTTAGCTTCTCAGTGATCCGGTGTGTTTACCAGCTAGTGTCTGACTCAGTCAGCGTGTCTGTTGGTGGTGGACATGTACAGTAGTGTTGTTTCATTACAGACTTGTCACTGAAACAGCTGCCTGCTGCAGCTGGAAACGGCCATGATTAGAGTGGACTAGAACGCTTTGTAGAGCTGAGAGCAGCTTTCACATTACACACAGTCACTTGTTCCAACGTGAATATGAAAACTATTTAGTGGTGCAGCTTTAAATCACATGTCTGATCATCTAATATGCGACCTGGTTTAACGGCACCATTCAATCGAGCTGAGGTCAAAAACAAATTACCTTGGGAAGACACTTTCAGGATTTCTGGGTCAACAATCACCCCTGGCTCTTCCTGACTCATCAGTCCCTTAGTGTCCCCTTTTTTGGTCTCACCCCATAGGTTGGAGCCACCATGCATGCTGGGAATGTTCAGGACAGCAACTCCCTCCAAAGAGAGGCCACTGAGGTCCAGTGGAGTGCCACAGCACTGAAAAGGTCCAACAACAGACCACAGAGACACAGGGAAGCATGAGTGCACTGTCTGTGGGAGCAGCTCTTTGACACAAGCTGTCTCAAAGTCAAACTGCACGCTTGCAGCGCCGGTAACACGGCCGCTGCATTCTCACCTCAATTGCTAGACTTTCGTTGAGTTTCTTGCAGGAAGCGGAGATGGTTTCTGAAGTGGCAAATTCAAAGTACCACAGCTTGTTCTTCATTCTGCAGTCACAAAACAGCCTTTCAGAGTTACAGGAGATTTTAATTTCACAGTACGTTTTCTTCTTTTAGAAAAAACCCTGCATGCAGGTGGCGACAGCAGGTGTCTGTGTTAACAGCTTTCCTCCTCCTCCTCCTCCTCCTGAAGGTTTTTTTTTCTTTTCAGCTTTAACGAACAGTAACTGGAAGCATCAAAATATACCTGTCACAGTAAATTTACAGACAAAAAATCCAATAGAAACCACCAGTATAACTATCTATCGCCACTGGTCATAGATATGATAGTTTAAACTGTTGTATATTAGTTCTATGAGCTGGATACTCTATTCATGGACAAGTATGTGTCCTAGAAACCAAAAATGTTCCATCAAATAGATGAATTCATACCTGCTATTGAATTTCTGGGGATGTTTCTCCCTCATTGTGTGAAATCGGTGAGCAATGGAGGCATCCTGTCAACATAACAGCAGTTATCCACACACAAAGCTGAAGAAACAAACAGTGGCCCCTGTGTGACATATTTCGGAGACACTCACAACTCCAATAGAGAAGTAGTTGTTGATGATTTCATATGGCACCGGGTCGCCCTTCTCCTCATTCTCATCTGTGATGACCTGCACACTCCAGCGGTCCATCAGCAGCTGAGAGCTCCCCTCAATGTCTTTAAGAATACGATTCAAATCTTCTCCATCATACCCTGCAAAATGAAATGGAACGATCACCATGACTCAGGGCCTTCGTGTGCACAGATACTATAAAACGGAGAACTTCTATTTTACAGAAGTACATTTAGTCTAGCACCTCCACGCACAGCAACAGAGCATATGCAGCAATCCTTTACATAAGGGAACACTCTGTTCCTCTTCAATTTCTTACCTCCTCCCCATCGCAGACAACGTGCAAGGTCATTTCCTGTGCCCAGAGGAAGCACAGCAACAGGTGGCCGCACCAGCAGATTGGCTTTGTCTAATGGCAGAAAATGCAAAAGGAAGTCTGTCAAATGGTTGTCGCCAGAATTTCATGATGCAGAAGCTCACAAGTGCCTTTTTTATAGAGCGTGATCCAGCAATCTCACCTATCGCGTCTAGAATCCAGCCAACTGTGCCGTCTCCCCCGCACACCAAGATCCTGTAATCCTGCAGATTTCTGAAGAAACTCAGTCTGGAACAAAGATGATGACAAGTGTCACAGCAGAGCGTGAAACACAGCTGAAAGAAACATTTAGCAGAAGGTGGTCTGACATTATGTAATACTCAGGCATGTGTATTTTAAAATAAAGCCTACAGAAAATCACTTCACTCTATTTCCATTTCACGGCTGTATCAGTTACTCACCCTGGCCCAGGTCCGCCATTCGAAAGGTTGTACACCTGCCGTGGATTCAGTAAATACTGAAATTTACGCAGGACTCTGAAATGCATAAAACCAGGCTAAACAATGTGCATGTAATACACATGTATTTCTCTGTGAATACATTCTTGTTTGGACTCACCTTTCTCCCTGCTTGCCACCGCTCTTAGGGTTAACAAACACAAGCAGAGGATGGGTGTTTGGCACAGGGCTGATCTGTTCAATGATAAACACAAAACGATACAGCAGTTATCAAGCAGATAAGCTATTCATAACCAAAGAATCTGTCCATATTGAGCCTCCGCAGATGTCAGGTTGTTAAGCACTGATAACAAGCTTTCACTGGGAAGAACAATACCTGAAGCACTTGTCCATCAGGAGTAGTATTGAGCTCACTCTCATCTGAAGAACAACCATTCTTCAGAGTGTTCAGTCTCTCCTTTGGGGAGCACAACAAAGGCAAAGAGTAAAAAAATAGATGGAGATGAAATAAATGTTCTGCGTTGGTGTGACAGGCACTGTTTGTACTGTACATGTGCTTGAGATCTGCCTGAGGATAATTCTCTACCTTTACAACAGGATATATTGCCCATGGAGGCAGGATATGGTCTCCGAGTGGCCCACAGGTGCACTCTGTTGGCTCTTGGTCTGCACATTCATCGTGACGCTGTGTATAGACAAACAGGGAAACGTTACATTGACTCCAAGCACAACAGTGGTGACTGACACAGTCTAATTTGTGCATTTCTGCGTCGCTGGATGGGAAACTCAGGGGAAAGAACAGGAGGAATGAAGCCTCCCTAGATTGGGTTTGTCTGCCCATGGGTACATGGCCGAGAATTAGCTAATTAAACCAGAATGGGTGATTATCAAAATGCACATTCTCTCCTCGCTGCTCAGAAACTGTGTACCTGGATACTCCTAAAAATCACACATTAAGATGCTTTCTCACCATTGTGTGGCACCACACACAGTGTTTGCCCGTTAAGCCTTGGTAGCTCTTGATCTTCTTCTGGCATTTATCACACTTTTTGGCGTCGCAGTTCCCACTCACCCAGTCGTGCGCTGGAACCTGAAATGTGGTATGAATATTTAATCAGCCATATAAGAGTACTTACACACAGGAAACAGTCAAAGTTAGACTTAGAGTGTCCCTGCAAAGGAGATACTGGCGTACCCCTGTCTCTTTCTTTGACTTCACATACGTCCTGGTGCAGGGAGCTGGGTTCCTGTTAGCACAGCGTCCGTGGACTGTGTATTTGCAGCCTGCACAACAGAACCCAGCCATCATATGTTGTTTATATACACATATACTGCTCTGTCCAGTATGTAAAGCTGACAGATGAGTATTTTTCTAAGAGAATTCTGTAATTTTCCATGCTGACACCGTGCAGTGTCGCCCTCTCCTGGTGAGCTCAGGTACTCACAGGTGCAGCACAGCCCTTGTTTCCTCAGCCCCAGCAGCACGCTCTGGCACACGTTGCAGTACACTGGCTTGTTGAAGTGTTTCATCCTCCACAGGTGCTGCCCGTCCGTCTGGGTCATCTGGTTGTTGAAGGAACAATCATCAAAGAGTGTCGTAAAGTAATGTTTCTGTTACTGACCCAACTTATTTTCCATTTGAACAGAAAAATAAATGTTTGTAGCAAAAGAAGTTTATACCTGTTTACATTGCTAGAATTGAAAAAAAATGACACAAATCCTGTCATAAACATGCTGTGGCTAAGGCCTGCATTTCACAGCTGTTTTTCACACCCACTCACGACTAAACTTGCCCTAATAACACTGCTGATTATGCAGTATTTAGAGGCTCTACCAGATCACACACTTAAATGATTTCTGCCGACACGATGCATCAGTCTATCACTTACTGACAAAACAGGCAGCTGGTGAAAGCAGCACACAGCAACAGCGAGGGGGCTGAATTCATGCACCCCAGGCTTCAAATGTCCATCAGTGGCTAGAAATAGCTCAAGGGGAAGTCCCTGATGTTGTTGCGGAGGCCAAACCCAGTGACAGAGCCCAGTTCAGGGTTTTAGATTGCCACAGCCGGATGAGCAGTCTGACATTAAGTGGTTTTTACATTTCTGACATCACGTTAAACAACGCCCATTACACAAAACTGATCTGTCCTTGGTTTAACGGCCATTTTTATATATATGTAGCCATTATTAAAATGATTCCTTTATAGTGCATCACCCTGTGTGTCATTTTATACAAGCACAAAGTAATGTGGGCTCAGATTGTGCCGCGTAAATGGAAAACAATTTTTGATGGTGCAGTGCTTGCATGAGATGAGATAACATTACCACACCCTGTAACACTGAGTCGACAAAATAGGCCCATACAGATGGGGAGGAGGCCGAGAGAAGAGAGCCACACAAGGTCAAGGTTTCGCATGAGCAAATAAAGGGGCTTTTAACAGTTTGTGAGACACCTGCTGTAAAATTAAACTACATCTGAGACCCCAGACCTTTGGAGCCAACACCAAATGAAAACAGAAACATGCAGCTTTAAAGGTACCTTCAAACCCAGCAAGACCAGCAAGGGAACATTGTTCATGCCGCCCTCCACCCACTCCTCCAGAGACACCGTGCCACTGCTGTCAGCATCGATTGCTGTCATCATGTCCCTGAGAACCTGATCAAAAGACAGTCCCAATCAGAACACATATATCCTGCTACTTAAAAAGGCCATTTGTCTTCTGAAACTGCTCATGCATGGGGATTAGTTCCTTTTGTAGGTGCAGAGAAGCTAATCATGTTACTCACCCTAGCAAATGAATAAGCACCGCCATGTACTGTACCCAACGTCGTAAAGGATATGTTGTACAAACAAATGTGTTTGTCTCTGTGTACATTTACTATATTGGCATGGCTGAAAGTACAGCAGGTAAAGGCTTTCATGTGTTTCCGGGACGTTTACCGGCTTCAGCTCTGACACATCCCAGCTGAGGTATTCTGCAGCATGCATCATCTGAGCAATAATCCTATCCACTTCCTGTTCAAAAAGTAGCAAAAGATTTGTTTTAGTGCTACTGTTGGTATGATATGTTACTTTGTAAGTGTCACCTTGAAAGACTTCCTCAGCAACTTACAGAGCTGTCAAGGACTCCATTGCCATCTCGGTCATAGAGCTTGAATGCAACTAAAAGAGAGAAGGGAAATGAAAGTAAAAGTGCTGGACCAAGTCGTCACTCGAAATTATTTTGGGCAGAAAAGAAGCAAAAGACTCACACTCCAGCTTGTCCCTGGGCTGGCCGTCCTCCAGCAGAGAGAAGTAACATGAAACATCCTTCAGAAAGACCTGCTCTGCAGGAGAGAGTGGGAGCTGTGAATTCTCTAGTCACTGTATCCACACAAGCAGTATCGACAGGCATGTAGTTATAAATGAAAGGATGCCAAATAGGCCATGGTGTAAATTGATATGGGCGTGCTACACAGTAGCGTGAAGGCAGTGAGTAGTGTTAATACATGGTGTCTAATCTCACTGGCACTGTCTTCCTGGGTGGGTTCAGAGTTTTGGAAGGAGCGGAAGAGTCGCTGGCAGAGGTCCACTGGGAAGTCCTCCACTTCTAAATAAGTCTTCAGGAACAGACGAAAACCTTCTTCATTGATGCACTGGGAAAAATGAAGGAGAAAGACACATTTAGTTCACAGTGGTTAGGTGACATATAACATTAAATGCTTGATGTGCCTGCGAGTGTGCTGCGCATGTTAACTTCTGCATTTTTCAAATTCATTTCTTCTGAAAATAAGGGAAGATGATGACCACATTTTTGTCACTGTGTGAAAATCTTGAATCTGCTTTCTCAGAAAAACGCCCTCCTGTTTTGTGCTTGAGAGACTTATCAGCATATTCACTGGGGGGTTGATGTTTTGTAGGTACAAATATGTCACCACAATTACAGTGGTAGAAAAAGATTTTTATGACAATGACAGAAAATAAAAAACAAGCTCATAATTCAAGCTTTCAGTCAGTTTGTCCTAGTATCTGTATTTCTCACATGATGATATGCTGCAGAGCTAACAAGGACTAGTCCCTTGATAATAGTGAACCACAAACCCATTTCTTGTTGACATTATTCCGTTTCCCTGGTTGATAGCCCGCAGAGCTGCCCCAGTAATAAATAATGTCACTGTGAGGCGGCCTGATCACAAACAAGCAACCAGGGAAACGGTATCATTATTCTACACACACCAACATTTACAACAAATACCTTAATTATCTTATGTAGCTTCTAAGCAATTAACTGGTTCTTTATGGCAGTATGTGTGTTTTCTTCCAAATAAAAACCAGCATTTCCTTCCAATTAGCTAATTAAACTACATGCAGCCAAATTATTCATCAGAAATTGATCCATTTGCTTACTGCACAGATTAGTTGGCAGAGTCAGCCACTGATGTATCGGAAAGACCGTTTGAGCTTACGCTGCCCGAGGGCAGCCAGCATGCCGTTCACCAAGGCCTTGCTGCGTGGGCAAAACCAAGGAGGCAATTTATATTTGCAATCTCGATCAAATGCTTTGAAGATATTTGTCACGACAGCTTTGTCAAAATGATCGATGGGTTTGAATCTGACAGGGTGATTAATAACCCCCCAAAGTGCACAAACCACATGCTCGTTTGTCTCTGAACGGTTCTGTCTGCTGAGAGCTACAGTTGGGTTTAGTTATGTGCCTCATAGCCGACATGACTGTGAGTGAAATATGGAGGAGTTGACCTGATGGCGAACAGCAGGACGCGTCGTCCCCTCACCTCTCCGTGTCTGTGCCGGGCCAAACTGCCATCTGCGTCGAATTCCCTCAGCACGTCTTTCACCTTCAAGCTGCAGTCTGGAAAGGACACACGTGTACCTCAGTACTTGTGAGTAGTTCTCCAATGTTGAGTCTTCACATATGTCTCTACTGTATTTAACAATTTTCAATCCACACTGCTAAAATATCATATACATATGATTACACAGTGAATTTACCGGGAGAGCAACAAAATACAGTGGGTACGGAAAGTATTCAGACCCCCTTAAATGTTTCACTCTTTGTTATATTGCAGCCATATGCTAAAATCATTTAAGTTCATTTTTTTCCTCATTAATGTACACACAGCACCCCATATTGACAGAAAAACACAGAATTTGACATTTTTGCAGATTTATTAAAAAAGAAAAACTGAAATATCACATGGTCATAAGTATTCAGACCCTTTGCTCAGTATTTAGTAGAAGCACCCTTTTGAGCTAATACAGCCATGAGTCTTTTTGGGAATGATGCAACAAGTTTTTCACACCTGCATTTGGGGATCCTCTGCCATTCCTCCTTGCAGATCCTCTCCAGTGCTGTCAGGTTGGATGGTAAACGTTGGTCGTCATGTTTAACATGTCATTTTGCTTCAGTGGCATTTTGGTCTGTTTCACCCAGATAGATGAGTCGGTGTGAAAATGTGGGAAAGATGGTCAAAAATGTGATTTAATGTGCTTCTCTTAAAAGCAGTTGTAGGTTTGGTGGTTGAATAAAAATGGGAAGGAGAAAGCTGTGTGACCACACAAAGCAGTTTTGAGTTTTGAGATTCAGTAAATTTGCCACTTCCCCTTTTTTTAACTGTCTTCTTTTTTATGTGGTGTCAAATCTGTGAAAAAGAAAACATTTGTTTGTACATGACCCGGTTGTACTTTTCCTCAGATGCCTGGTAATATCTAACATCTTCAGAATGAATCTAAATGGTAAATCATAATAATGTGGTTTATGATGACATATGAGTGCACTTTTCAAAGTACTCTACATCAGGATATTTCATTCTGACTGACAAGATGTACTTAACATGTACTTACCAAACAAACAAAAACACTATCTTTATAATAATGACCCTCATCAGTCAAATTAAATATTCTTCATATTTTATATTAGAAAACCAGACAGGAAAATGTTGTTTTTACTGCGCCAACCAAACCAGTGCTTTCAGATGAAGACTTTTAAAGTGTAGGTGAAAACTAAAAATCGACAGTATGAATCTTTCATCACAGGAACTCACAGGAATTGCACATTAAATAGTTTATTATTGAAAGAAAAGTGGATGAATAAATCAATTATAAAACAAACACAAGTGAGAATACATGGAGGACTGCAGACTTAATCTAAACGATATCCGGGACTCACCGCTCAGCAGGGAGGGATTTCATTCATGAAGTGCTGGAGGAAGAAATGGGAGGATGTCTGACCTTCGCTCCCATACTTATGTCTGTGACAGGAGG